GGTTTTCTTTCAAGATAACACATAAAAAAAAAGGAGCAAAACTTTGCACGCGATATTTCATCCCGATGATGATATCTGGGATTGGTTAGGACAAATTGATGACATCGTAAAATTTTCTATTGCAAGAAGTAAATAATTCTTTAGCAGAGCTACCAAATTCCAAAAAAAAAAAAAATATTTAAGTTTTTGTTTAGTTCTGGTTAATCTTGCCTGTGTGATTAACTTAATTACGAAAACTAAGCATTAATTTAATCATTTTATTATCGGAAGTTATAAAAATGTCAAAACGGTATGCATTACTATATTATTTGATAAGTAGGTAATACTTTTCGGGATAAAAACTCTAAGCAGCATTAAGCGTTTCCTTTCATAATTTTTCTTTCCACTAAAATAATTTTTTTTTTCTTTCTGCCGGAAGAAAATTTAACAAAGGAAAATGCATTAAAGTATTTAATAACAAAACCTTATATTAGCTTTATATTTAGGCTACATTAGTAAAATTTTCTAATATGATTAATTTCTTCCTTTGATATAAACACTCTTAACTAAGTGCAAATGTTTTTTAATATGTATAAACATAGTATAAAAATCAAAATATGTATGTATGCATACATTTGTTAGATAATAGGCTCTATACCGTTCAAATAATTCTCAATAAATTTGATACGAATATACTTCGATGCCCTAATACTGCACCCAAACTACCCCAAAGCCCACCGGTTTTAACGTAAGCCAAAACAATATCGGGCACACGCAGCTATTTTTTTTTTTTAACTGTTTAAGAGGCTTCCGTATTTAGTATTCTTTTATTCACCCAAAGCCCATCCTCTCAAAAGTTCGGGCACAGGCAGTATATTTAAAAATGATCGCGATCTTAAAGAGAGATTTAAAATCTTAAGAAAATAAGCGCATCGAAAATTTCACTTAAGAAGTTTAAAAGATGTAATCGATATATTTTTGAAGTTGTGTTTATTTAATAAAGGAAATAACATATAGTATAATAATAAAAAAAGGGGGAAAATATCCCATCTATATAGGATCAAACCGGATAAAGTTTTCTCGATCTTCATAAAGAATCCTATCACGTGGTGACATTGCAGAGAGATCAAATCAAACAGTCCCGAGGCTAGTTGAAAAAAAAATATTGATTTTATACAAGTTAGAATGGCTCTGACAACTATTATAAAAAAATGACGTGTTCGTTCTTCAAAAAATAGAGCAGAAAAACAGAAACGTAAGTCAATTCGATGAATTGTTATTAAATTTCATTCCGGTATATCTTTAAAAATTATTAATACCTCTTTTCTCCCATCGTATCCGAAGCATTTAAAACTTTTATAGCAAAATATTAAACATATTTATTTTAAAAAATATGGCAAAATGCAAATTACATACCTTATTTTAATACGACATCGTTTTTTACTCGCGACAACTTAAATTATTAAAATGGCAAGCAGAAACAATCAAATTTTTTCTCCTCTTTTATCCCGAAAAATATTGAAAAAAATTGTTAGAATCTATATATTTTTTTATTATTTATTTAAATGATTTTTACTTTTTACAAACACACACACACACACACACACACACACACACACACACACACATATATAGATATATATACACAATGTATGGTAGAAGTTATAACGAACTGACAAGTGCTAGAGGCAAAATGACAAGAATAAAAGTCGAAGAGAATGGACGTTCATTATCGTCCCAGTCTTTTCTTATTCTGTTGGGAGTATAGAAAAAATAAATAAAAATAACAAGCTGGTTAAATAGAAAAAAAGGGGGAAAGTACGAATGAGTTTAACGAAAAAGTTTGGTGTTTTTCCTTTCCAGTCACGATTCTTCGCGTTATTCACCGTATCGGAAGTCTCGTGCGTTTGTTTTATGAGCTTACAGTTACTATGGTAACGAATCAACCACATGATGTGTGGACACGTGTGAAGTATCACGCGATCACTGCCCGATGATGTCATTCTTACGGTGCAGGTTTTATTACCTTATAATTCTGCCTGAGTTCTCTCGCCCTCTTTCCAAAGAAAAATTAAGCTAATTCCCTTTGGTAGAAAGGAGGGAACGTACTTATTGCGTTTTCCTCATTAAGGGAAACAAATTCGAGCTTCCAGCAATAAGAATTTCTAGTTTAACAAAAGTTTTACTTAATTCAAAATTTTCGATTGTACTCGGTGGAAATTAAAACGGGACAAATTAACTGCGTGCCATTCATTAAAATTATCTTTACAAATTACGAACGTAGCCAGCCAGGAGATGCCTTATTACGTAAGCCCAGATATAATTCGACTGTTTGCATATGCTGGAAGAGCATTGATTTCGAATGAGGGATGCGGACATGTGATTTTAGTGTTTGGTTTGTACAACCTTTTCCATTTCGGTCACGTATCGTTGGAGAAAAGAAGCGTTGACGCATGACGAGAAACATTCGACGTGAGTTGCTTAGAGATGCTTCCATTTTTTTTTTCCTCTACAATTTTCCGATTTTCGGATTTTTTAACGCCGACCGTCGTTAATTAAAACGCGTTACGCGTATGACACACATACGCCCGATTATGAAACTTTCGTCACCAGATGGCGTTTAAACGAGATTGGATCCGTAAGAGATCGATAAAACCTCGACTGCTCTAATTATTTTAAAATCTATTGTTTTTTTTTCTTAATAATTAAAATTTTATAGGGTTGGTTTTTTTTAATTACCGTCCGTTAATTTAAAGCGGTGTATATTTTTAAAAAGTTTAAGTAACGCGTGTAGACTACGATAGGAAAATGTTTAAAGAAAAATTTGTAACGTAGACGTCAATCATATTTTAGTTCCGTCAACGAACGACAGGGGACTCGGTGACGTCACCAGCCTGACGTTTTCATTGTAGGATTAAAAGATAGGCGTCCCACTTCTAGCGGGGTGCATGCGCAATGTTAAATGCCCGAAGAGGTACACGTCCTTCGTCTGGAAGCGGGGTCAAGCCCCGAAAACCAGTTTAGTAAGAGGGCAAAGGAACCGGACGCGGTCATACTCTTTGTCCCTCGATATATTTTACCTCCCCCTCCAGACTTTCCGCTCGACCGGAGTCGTTGCCATGGTTTCCTGCTCTACAGAGTTGCGAAAAACAACATCCACCCCTTCTACCTTCCTTAGACAAATGAGACTGAACCGTACTCCAACGGTTTCTTTGATAACGAGGAAGTTTCTCTCCCACGTGAAAAAATAATAAAAAAAAAGACAAATAAAAATAAACGTTATTACTTTTGCACTTTTAAAATTACCTTTTTTGTTTTTTCCGACGAATATTACTCATCGAAAAGTATTGTTATTAAGTTTTTCGATTACAACAATTACAAACACTTTCGACATAAAACAGCTGTACAGTGACGTCACCGGATGATAGATATCCACTGCCGCTATCGATTGGTCGATTCCGATAGTGACGTCACAAATGCGCATCCTTATTTGTCGAGTCACTAACCATCAAATATTTCTCTACGTTTAACTCGTCGCGTTCATCGACCTAACGTATAGACAGACACGTTACGAGTTTTTTTATAACTTAATTTTTTAAATGCACCTAACTAACGAAGATATTACGCTAAACAATCCGCGCCTTGTTATAATTAGGCCGCGTTTCGTTTCGCGTACTTCGGGATATGACATACATTTTTCTGTGACGTCACCAGCACGGATTTTTTTTTTACCAATAAAGAAATGTTTGTGGAGAGAAAAAATAGAAACCGTGCGAAGAGGAGGAAAGTTTTTTTTTTTCTTTTTGCAACGTAAGTAAAGCTATAAACGAACGGATTATAGTGCTGATGTCACGCGAGCAATCCTGCCACCGGAACGGAGATGATGACGTGTTGCCCAGACGCATTGGAACTTTCTATTAATTCTTTGCACCGTATGCAATGACGAATCGTCAATAACAGTTTCTCATTCTAAGAATAGCTCTCTAGTGATTAAAGAGAATGTCATAGTGTTGAAAACAGACGAAATAAGCTTCCTTACGTAATATACGCCACCGTCCCTCAGAAAAAATAAAATATTTTTTGCATTAATATGAGTTGTTGCCTCGGCCATTAATTTATTTTTTATTTTCCTCCTACCTTATGTTTTTTTGCAATTTCAGATAAGTCATGTTGTGGTATGTCAACTTTGTCAAATAACAAAGGAGACTCTCCCTACTTATTTCGCCTGCAGCTAAAGGGGGACGAAGAATGAAGAGGGGTAGGAAACCAGACCATTCACACGCACATGCTTTAAACCATTATCGACGACCTCGAATTTTATATATATATATTTTTTTTATTTTATTATTAGTTCAACCGGAGAATGATTTTCGTCTGTGCATTCTTCGCTGCGTGCGATGACGTCATCGGATCCCGGTGTACGAATTATTGCTATTAATAAACCGAAATTCGATGATGTCACTGTTACTAATGTAAATCGACTTTGAACGAAACTTTTCGAGCGAAACGCTGGCTTATTCTTTTATTATTGTTGGCTGCAGACGGATCCGATCGGTTCCACAACGTTGCATTTCGAATGGTATCGATGGTGACGTCACTACAGGTTGCACACTTATAGAATGGCAGAAGAACGAGCAGGAACTGTTCGTTCGAATTTCTGCCATTCTATACGTGAGGAATAGTAATTTCGGATATGTGCACGTTTTATCGTATCCTGTATTTCGATCGAGTTTAAATAAAATTCGATAGGCAAAAGTCTATAATTAAGAGGAAAAAAATAACGAGAGTTTTTTGTTACAACACGCAAAAATGTGGAAATTCCACCATCCATTCACACTTGATCATGCCTGACTTGACAGCACATCCCTGCACCTGTGCAACTACCTTCCACCTCTTCCCAATGGGGCACTACCGAAGACGTGACAGTCTTGGCATTTTGCCCTGGGGGCGTTACTGCAGACAGCTCCGCATCGGATCTCCCCCCTTATATTTAGTGACGTCATGGGCAGAATAGCCGTAGCAGCTGGGTACGAGGCGAATCTGGTTTGGCAACGTGCCAAATGCTTTTCCCTAGAAACTGTCTCCCGTACACGTACATTGATTGGCTGAAGGGAAAGGGGATAAGAGACATGCGTGCTGAAAAAGGTGTTCCGAGAATTTTTGTTTGGTCGAGCTGGCAGAAAAGACATTTCTCTCGGAGTTAGAAGCGAAATTTTAAATATAATCTCGTTTCTAAACTGAAAACTTGTCAATATAAGAGAGCAACACTAATAAAACCGTGGCGATTTGCCACGAGAAAGAAATGAGAGATGTGGTTTAGAAAGCTGCGTCGGAGTGTGGAATCGATTGTCGAGTAAGCAAACCACTCGGTGATGGCGTAACGATATCAAAGTATCCCCTGCCCGGAAATCAGCTGTGCTGAGAGAGACCTCTAGCGGCAGTGACGTCTTTCAGACAACGCCTCGCTTGTTGCTGGACTACGCTTGCGCAAAGCGTCCCCTCCCATATCCAGGCAATTGTAAGCTAGTGGGTAGGAAACAGTGCTAGCTACCATCGCAGAGCGCGCCGTGGTAGAAGTATAACCCACCAATGGTGAAGATGTCGGCTCTGTCTCGTGGACAGAGGCAGCACTGTTACCTCTGTGACTTACCGCGTATGCCATGGGCAATGCTCAATGATTTTAGTGAACCAGTCTGTCGGGGATGTGTTAATTACGAAGGAGCGGATCGGATAGAACTGGTACTGGAAACCGCTCGTCAAATGAAACGAGCTCACGGATTCCAAGAAGGTCGTTCTGTATACAAAACATCGCCGGTACCTTCTGTTTCACGTGGACATTCGGAAATTCTGAACGGAACGTCAGCAGTTACAGTTACTGCCGAGCCAACAGTCATTCCCGTGCACGCTGCAACTGCCCGGTCGCCCGTTCCCGCCGTGTCGTTGGAAAGGTATCCTCCCCACGATCCCAATAGGGCCCGTGCAGCCTTGCTGGAGTATACCACCAGCCAACGGCTAGGTAACAGTTTACACGGGCACAGAGTGGAAGAAGTACCTCACGATGCCACAACGGCCGCATTGAATCGTGGAAGCCCCAGTTTGGGAAACAGAGCGGTGAGTGGTTTACCAGTGGCACCTCCGCCTCCACCGGCACCGCACGTACCGCTGACGACAAGTACCACGAGATCAAACAACAAACGCACATCGGAGAGAGACGACGATGACAGTTCCGCCACATCCGAAAATTCAAAGAGGACCATGTTGGAAGATCACGGTGTTAGACCCCCGTTAACGAGAGGGGAAAGTCTGCCCGCCGCCGTTAGTGTTATGGGGGTGCCGTTCGATGCACGTTACAAGAAAGAGCACGCAATGGTTGGCAGAGTGTACTCTTTTGACGCTGCAACAAGTTTAAAAGCAGGTAAGACTCTCGTTTGCCCGACATTACTTCATTACACCGTCCGAGAAATGTTAAAAATTTTATTACTTGCTAAATTAATAACCGGAAGTTTATGACATCCACCGTAACAGCGAAAACGGTTACGTTTTTTCTTTTAAATGTAACTTCCCATTTCCTCCATCGTACGTAACCTAGTGTTTCGACAGGAAACGTAATGTCCGTAACTGCGTGACATCATGCTGACGTCATGTGACCCGTACTCGATACCCGGGAGATACGCCTGGACCGACGCCAAACCTGCCACCTACAATCCTCCCGCAGTAAACACCTGTGCTAAGAATAGTGGAAACTGCCGTGTGGCTGTGCCGTGACGTCACGAATGCTAATCGGAATCCTAGTAGTAATTTTTGCGTAACTTTCCGGACTGGTTTTTTTCTTTCTTTCTTTCTTCTCATTTTTAGGTCGAATCTAGGATCAGTGGTCTTATGGAATTCGCGCATGCTCGGTAATTATTTTAATGCATCGAGTTTTCTCGGCTTTTTAACCGGCAAAATGAAAGCGCCGGCAGAGACCAGACTCGAATTTCGAAATGTTCGTGCATAAATAATCCACCAATCGCCAGTAAAACTGACAGTTTTGTATTATTAACCGACACTTATATTTTAGAAGGTGTCGAAAAATAAAAGTTTCGCTTAAGACCCATTTTATTGCCACGGCATGGTAAAGCGCAAGTGTTACGGCGCAAAGAATTTCAAGTATTTAAACAGGTGAAAAACCTGTTGCATTTAATAATATTTGTTTTTAGCCACGCACCTGGTTAATTTATCGCACCGCATTCGTCCGATTTTATTATTTCTGTCCGTCTGGCAATTTTATTGCATTTAATAATTAACCGCCGTTGCTAAATAATCGTCATTTAAAAATATCAGGATAGGCGCATTTTTCCTTTCCTTTTAAATCAAAATAAAGTTTTAAATCCTGTTTTACGGGCTGGGAGTTAAATTTTTGCAGATAATTGTATACATTTCTCGAATCTCTGGGGATTAAACGATACCGGAAAGCGTATTAGTTTGGTGATTTTAATGTTGTCTTGTTTTTTTCAGCTTTCAATGCCATCAATAACGTCAGCACCACATCGGCCAGCACCGTGTCGCCATTAAGCAACTGCACGACAACTCCGCCAGATGCCAGCAGCTCTTCGGGCCCAACTCAGAACGGACAATCACCCATGGCATCTCTGATGTCTGTCACCGACAATCTCCCACCCGGATCGCCGCGTAACAGCGAGCAAACGGCCACTAACAGTAACAGCAGGCCCGCATCGGCCACATCCCGCCATTCGCCCAATAGCACGGCTCCTCCCACCGGCAAAAAAACCCCGTCGGGCGGCCGCCATAACGTGGGCACCGGCGATTCTGAAAGCATCACCACAACAACTAGCGTCCCGTCTACCACCGCTCCCGCGGATGCACCCCTTCCGGCCGCTCCCCTGAAATGCACCCTGTGCAACGAGAGGTTGGAAGACACACATTTCGTCCAATGTCCGTCGGTACCGCACCACAAATTCTGTTTCCCCTGTTCGCGCGAGAGCATCAAAAGTCAGGGTGCGGCCAACGGTAACGAAGTTTACTGTCCCAGCGGCGAAAAGTGCCCGTTGGCTGGATCTAACGTTCCTTGGGCTTTTATGCAAGGCGAAATCGCTACCATCTTGGGCGAGGAATTCAAGATTAAAAAAGAACGCGAAACTTAAAAAAAAGATCCTCGTTGGAATTTGGTCTGAAAAAAAAATATCAACGGCACACACGTAATTCCCATGCGAAATGCGTGCTTTGATAACGCTTTCGATTTTACGGTTTTCTCCATCCGCTTCCGTTATTTTTACTTAAGTCGGACGGAAGTTGGGTGAAAAATTCGGCTCGACTCGAAAGTCGTAACGCCGTACAATATACAGTAGAATTGACGGGAAAGAATTAATAAAAACACACACCGTAACTCGATTTTTTTGCAGTTCCGGCCGGCAGAATGCTGAAGTGTTACGGAAGTATGCGCGAGATATTAAAAAGGTCATCGTGTTCTCTCAATATACATTTCTCTCTTAAAATCTCTCTCTATCTATCTATCTTTATCTATCTATCTTTCTCTAGTTCTCTCGTCGTGCCCCCATCCCTCGGCATGTATATCGTCAGCCATACGTTTCTTTTTGCGACCAAGGATACAAAGAAAAACAAATTACGTCCAGTCGCGCTAAATTTTTGAATGTCGTGTTGTTACATTTGACGGATTTAATCGCTTTTACGTGTTCGTGAGCAATCGGGCAGCCATTTTTTTTATTTAAAAAAAATCTTCGTGCGCCCTCCATCTTTCTGGGAAACTCCGTCAATAAACTGTTATCGTCTCGGAAGTGTCTGGTATTTGTCGTCCCCGTTCTCACCTGTACAGATGTTTTACTTTTTTTTTTTTGGACACCCCCTCTAAAAGGCGTTGTTGTCTATAGGAGTATTTCGATACCTCTCGAAGTGAGAGATTTTAGAATTAAAAAAGAAAATCGATCTCTCCGGTTTAATATCGACCACTGACGTAACAGTTGCCGTGTACGAGTGTTTTTCCGTTTCTCACTGGGGAGGCAGCTCTGTCGTCTCGCTAGTCACGTGATCGCCGTGTCCCAAACTCGATTCGTCTGGTCTCAAAACATAAAAAGCCAATAAATAACGGTAATAAAGCTGTTGGGTGTAGTTATGTTAGAGTCTTTCCCCTTTATTGTGTTATGTATGTCAAGTTTTTAGTAAAAAAAAAAAGGAAAAAATAATGATAAACTGGGGAATTCTCTTGTATTCGATGTTCACATGTGATGACAATGATGAACGTGTTTATATATATATCGTCTTGTAAATAAAATGACAGTTCTTTCGCCAAGAGACTGCTTTACAATTCTTTTCTTTCCCTCTTCGCGTTTTAATTCAAGTGTGTAATTTACTATACCGGCCACACGTGTACGTATAAATCACTCGATTTTTAACTTGTACCGTTGTAATTCGAAACATTAGAGTATTTTTTTTTTTTAAACGTTGGTATTTTTATAATAATAAATAACGGTAAAATTGAGTGTTTTTTTTCCGTGCGCGTATTAGATGCATGTGACGTATTTTTTTGGATGTTTGCCATATAATTATGTGAGTAGAATAGTGTTCACTAAACCAAAAATAAAACACTGTTCGCTAGAATATTTTTCGTGGTAAAATATATAAATTCGAAGAAACCGAAGGTAAACTATAATTACGTAAAATTCGGTTACAAGAAAGCACACATTCCTGCCCTTATCTCTTGTGCAAATTCGTAGAACGTGACACGCTTACCAAACTATTATACCTGCATAGATATACGAGATATATTGGAAACATGTTGGAAATTTATACTTGGCGCATAATAATTTACCTATCTGTTACCGACGTTATCTGATAGTTAAGATTTATATATATATATATATATATATATATATACATACNTTGAATGCCACACCCAGAAATATCTTTCTTATTTCGCACCTGTTAAAAAATATATATATACATACATACAAGAAAAATGGGTTTAAACGTCATAGAAATTACGTTTTATACGTTTCCTATCGATTAAATATAATTGGAGAACATTCAGATTTAAGGTAGACATTTAATACTTTATTTGTATAACTAACCGGACGTCATCGTAACTGTGGTTACTCTATAAAGATATATATGTATATATAGATTATAAAGAAGAAAACGTTAAAAAGCATTAAATCGTGTGTAGGAAGATTGTTAGCTTTTGAAAAAACACAACGCCCCTCGACACAGTGTATGCTGCCTACGTCATCTTTCTAGATACATTCTTAACAGTAAAAACCAGTACGAGGTTGTTCTTTTAAATAGATACGTGACGGGGGACATGTTAAATGACGTCAGGAATCCGTTGCCGAAGTTTTTGTACATTTAGAATCGGACGAACAGACTAACAAACTCCCCGTCGAGAAGTATACGCGTAGTTGCTTATAAATAGTCGTATTAAGACGTAAGAAATGTTTTTCATTCATTTAAAGGGCAGAAACAGATAACAAATCGATCTTCTGTCGATCGAAATTAAATATAATTAGAATTTTATGTAGTCCTTTCTACTTTGGTCATAACACGGCAATAATGTAACGCGCGTAATTTGAGAATAGGATATTAAAAAAAGGAACAAGAAAAAAGTTGTTTACATCCAGCAAATACAGTTTATAGCATTGAACCATAGTAACAAACGGAGGCAAACGCAGCCACCAAGGTCGTACGACATCCTGCAAGCCAAACTACGATTACGTCATTCGGTGCAGGCGTTCTGCCGTGACGTCACGCAAGCGGGATGGGTCTAGAGCACGCGCGGTGTAGCAATGCGGTGCGATGACGTCATCGATGGTGGGCAAACGTTTGATTGGTCAATAACCCTTTTTTTTTTAAAAATACATGCGTTACGCTAATGATGTTTTGGCAATTTTTTAAAATTAATTATATTACCACGACATTTTTCTAGTGCAATATTTATTATTTCTCTTATAAGTCCGATTTTGAAACGGTACAGGTGGTCAATGATGTGGTAAACACCAGCCATCCACTCGTAAAGAGAGAAAGAAAAAAAAAACACCTGCCGAAGATTTACAAGGACATCGTAGTGGAGATCTTTCGACATCAACTCACACACGAATGTTTACATATATACGTATATATATATATATCTTTTTGCTCGTGTTTCTAAGAATTTGCAGCATGCTATTCTATGTATACGTCGTATTATCAACCACATATCCCGTACGACGGACTATTTTCGTTTCGTCATTCTCCTCAACCGTTAGAGCAGTAACTATTTAAGATTAATTTGGCGTTATTCCAACCATCTCTAAATTTTTCTTATTCCTCGTTTATTTCGCCATACTCCGTTAAATTCGAAAAAACGCATCTTTCATTTTTTCCCACCATAAAAAAAAGTAACGTAGAATGAATGCATGCGACACGTGATCGACAGGAACTCGGAGTCCGTGACGTTGCCGGTTACTGGGGTTTGACCTGACGTCAGATAAATCGGTGACGTCACACGGTCGTCGAACTGACGAACAATTACTTTCTGTGAAAAAAAAGGAAAATGGATAATGACCGTTTGATCGTTAGAGGGCGAAAATCAAAGCGTGACTCTATATAACCCCCCCCCCAATTTGAGACCGATATAGAACGAAACCTACAATTATATAAAGGGGTGGTAATTCGAAGCGTTTTAAACAATTCGAACAATGCAATATATATATATGTGTTATATATATATAAACGTATATATAGTTTATGCGTATAGTCTGTATATTTCCTGGTTTAACATAATTCAGAAGCAGAATACTGTATGTGTATTTAACTATTTATCTTGGAGAGATAAAAAAAACTGGAAAAATATTAAAACAGTATTTATTTTTAATCAATTTTTGTATTTTGCAACTACTGATAATTTATGTTGTCGGTACTATCTGGTTCTTAAAGATAAAAGTCATTAAAGACGATAATGCATCTGATGTCATGCGATAAATCAAACGGGATAGGTATCCATAAGACAAATATTGCTACAAAAACTTCCTCTTGGCCTACAAGAAAAACAAAAAACGAAAGTAATGCAGTGAGAATTATCGACGAATTAATTATATTTACATTATAAAAATTCCAAGAAAATTATGATTTAATTTCCATGCCCCTTACTCGACACGTATCAGATTTCCTTGGCAGAATAAGTGGTCGTATCGTATTATCCGGTATCGAATTCGTTATAAAAGTCGAGCGAAACAAGATTGCACGGTATATTGTTGCAGGATAATTAGGTCATGCAATCACTTCCGTTTTGATAATGTCTGCACCGTAAAATTTTATTTATTAATAAAGCAATAAGCGTTACGCTATTAACGATCTTATAAAAATTATACCCGTAATTATTTTTACTTCAGGGACATGGGACGAATTAAGTCCAGACATCAGACAGTCCGGATATTTTTAAAAAATAAAATAAAATAACACGCACTTGGAGATTATAACGCTATCTTCTGAATTAAATTCTGATAAATATCCTATTCTAAAACTTGTGTAAACTGCGGTATCGATAAAAACGATGATAAAACTAGTTACAAAAGAACACGTTCCGAGACCACGAAGGACTTTCTCATAAAAGGGAACGTTTTTCTTATTCGTTCCGGTATCGATAATATAAATGAGAGAAATGAGAACGGAATTCTCGAATAAGGATCTATCCTTGAAATTAATTATGGAAGAAATCTGATTTAGTTTGTATGCCCGAAACGTATCGAGCGCGCTTAATACAAGCCTATAGAGTAAGAGGACGACGACGACGACGACGATTATTTTCTCTTCCTTTCTTGCTTTCCTTCTTTCGACTTTTCCTAATTATTTTAGTCGATAACGTTCTCTTCGCTGGTAATTTCGTCATTATTAGATACGTTATCCGTCCTTCTTTCTTCACCGCTACGTATCGATAGATCAATGTTGACGGATAACGAACAGTTTATAATCGGTGATTCTATCTTTGTCAAAATATTTCGTAATTGCATAATATAAATCTTCCAAGTAAAAATATCTAAGGATAAAAGTGAAGAATTTTATTTATATATTATAGAATATGTCCTTTTAGAAAAATAAACAGGTTTGGGGGGTGAAAAAATACGAAATTAACAAATGACATGGAAATCGAACTTAAATAGCATTAAAGTATTTCAGAATTTTAACCATCGTAAATCAAATTTTGATTTGACAGATATAATCGTTCTTTTATTAGAAAAAAAAAAAAAATGTAAAAATTCAATTTTATTTCGCCTCAGGAATCGTCCAAAAGAGGGAGTCTCGGTTCCTATCAAAATCCGTTTTCGGTTACTATGGTAACGATAAAATAGTGAATTTTTTTCCTTTCATAGTATACTATTTCAATACCTCGAAGAAGGTTTTTTCTTTACTTTTTTCTAAACTTGATAAAATTCTGCACAACTGACACAAACGATCAAACGAAACTTCCCCAAATAATTTTTTTTTTCCTACCTTGAGTCGAACGCCGCCTGACGTACATTCTAAGTAACGATTAAAAAAAAGTCAAAAAAAAAAAATCGAGAAAAATAGCACCGATGTTTGTCGTCATGGTAACCAACTAAACACGTGATTCTTATTTCGATCGATAGGGTGTGGTTGCCACTTTTACCAAAATTTTTAAACAAAAATTCACCGAAATCGCGGTACTCTCTTGTACGAAGTTATAATTTTTTTTTATTTTATTTTATTTTTTAAATTATTCTCTGAGAATATTAATATAAGTTTATATCGCTGTTAAAATTCAACACACGAATCTTTTCGCGGAAAAATGTATTTATTTGAATCATTAACACGAGTTAGTTTTATATAATTGAACCGAAACCATTTTTGGTAATGTCACCTCAGGTGATTTTAACACATGTTTATTTATGTAAGCCAGAAAGATTCTTGCCAGAATTACTAAAAGAGGGTGTTCATATATATTAATGGTAACCATAAATCTGTTTTGGATCGAATGCAAAATAACCCGTTTCCATCTCTATTAAAAAATATATATATATATATATTTCCTATTCGTAAACAATGATCTTACATTTTTTAATCTAAAGATAAAAATAAAATTTATTTTCAAATGCAAAAAAAGTAAAGCAAAAAATCGCATTATCGTAAGTGTTTGATATCGAGTTATTGTAATAATTACCGAATCACGGCATGTTGGCAGCACGGAAACGTTCCTCTATCGATTCTTCCACCTCTGACCTTTCTCGGGGTCACGTGACACGCCCTCCCTCCGTCGGTACTAACGTGTGACTCGACTACAAACTCTGCAATCCTCTCTTATCAA